CTCTTACCATTCTGACCCATCTGTCTGTCTCACATAAGCATAAAAACGTTAAAGGCTGCTCCCAGATAAACACCAAAGACACAAAATCTGGGGTCTAGAGAACACCTACATTAGGGCAACTTAGAAAAATAGGAAACCAGAGCACCCAATAAGTCTAATTGAGGGAGGAAAAAGCCTCAAGGAAAGAGAAAAGAAAAACACGTTACCTACAGAGGAAGCCAAAAATGCAAAGGATCAGTTTCTACTATACATCATTCACAAAAAACACTGCTAAAGTAATACGGCGTAAGAGAGGAATTATAAATAGGCCTGATAGGTACTTTTTACAGAAAGCAAGTCCACCATTGGTCAATGGCAAAGCTGATATATTAAGACTCAGTATTACCAAGAATCTAAACATTAACTTTCACATATAAATTCATCTGCACTTAGGAGACAAACTAGCTAAATCATAATGATATACATAATTCCATTAAAGAAAGTGTTAATCTATAATATTACAGAGGTAAGGAGCTAAATACCAATACTGGCATTAATGCTATAGACAGAATTCAGGATTAAAACTGAGTTTAGGTCCAAGACCATCAGGAAAAATTAGTTTCTGTCAATAGACAAATGTTCTGTTTTGGGGTTGTTTTTATTTTATATAAAAACATGTCAATCTTACATAGAAATCCTGTAAACAAATTCATAAAAATGTTAAAAATGCATAGCTTTCTCTAATTACAGGAATAGCTGATCATAAAGGGATCTTCTCTGGAAAAATCTCTGAAATGGGATCCCACCCCCCAACATTTTCCATAAAAAAGTCAAATACATTTCCCACTTGAAAACGAGGGAAAAGAAACTCTGAGAAAACCTGTATGTTTTCTCAGAACAAATTTAGGTAAAGTTTACAATGTGATAGGTAGGCCTGAGCCAACAACCACTTTCTCCCAATAAATGTACCATTTAAAACATGACTGCCATCTGAGATATGATCCAGATACTTGAGAAGCATTAACCCTAGCCTATCAATTTCACTACATTCTAACTCTGAAAACTAATAATCCCCTCTATGCTGTAAAAGGTAACTCCACATCACTCAAAATACTGTTTGCCAGAATAGCCAAATCAGACTATGCCAGATAGCAGTTTCATAGCATATTTAATTATTTCATTTCAGAAAATTAATATTTACTGGGTTATTCCTTCTCCGAGTTAAAAAATCAAATTTTTATTGAATGTCTTTTCTGTGATAGGAATAGTAGTACACAAAGAAAGTCACCATTTATTGTAACAACTATTTATTAAGCAATTAATAAAATGAGCTAAAAATTTAAAAAATTAAGAAAACAATTCTTCTCTGAATCCCTCAAATTACAAAGGCAAAATATACAGGGGAAAAAAATGCAAAAATGCATTGAGCCACATTTCATTCTGCACAGAAAACTGGCATTTTCCATCACTTAAAACAAAAAAGTAGGTTAACCACATGTTAATGGTACTGTTACAACACAGAAGCAAAACAATCAAACCTAAAAATTATAGTAAAAAATGAAAGTGGTTACTACATAGGTCCTAATAAAAATATAAACCAAATAAAGATAATGGTGTATCTTGATCGGGGTGGTGGTTACACAGGTGTATACATTTTGTCAGACTCTACACAATTAAAATGCATGTGTTTTATTGCATGTAACTTATCCCTCAAGAAAGTTTATTAAAATTTTAAAAGTACATATTTAAAAGTATTTCACTTGAATAATTGGTGTGTATTTTATGCATAACTAAAGTACCTCAGTTGATCCTTAAACTTACATATTAAAACTTATGCACCCAAATTGTTCATTCAGTAACTGTTCACTGGGCATCTACTTACTATATGGAGGCTTTAAGCAACACATAGGATATACACGTGAACAGAAAGTTTTTGCCCTAGAGGAATTCACAGGCCAATGGGGAGATAAGCAAGTAAACTAAAGGTGAAACTGACATACAAGTTGTCTGAGGTAATGATGTACCAACGTGTTAGGACTTCAGAGAGATGACAATGTCCCAGGGAAGCTTTCGGAAAGAATACAGACCTGTTCCAAGGACTTGTCTTTACTGCAGGGATATCTATCCCAAATACTCAATGCTTTCAAAAACACCTCTTTTAGTCTTATCTCTGTACTTCATGGCAAATTTTTCTGACGGAAAGTCCTTAGCACATCAATAGCATAGTCTCTTTGTTTACATAGCCAAAAGTTACTCACAGATAAATTTAATGAATACCATTCTGGAAAACAAGTACAAGTATAAAGTCAATAAACTTGTTTTCCTGTGTGCTTTTAGGAGGTGAAGGCAACAAGAGACTAACAATGTTTTTCAACCAGCACAAAATTGATGGAATAATGTATAGACTCTCAAGGAGACTACTTTAAAGGCCTTTGCCCTTTTGAGTGCTTAAATCCTGGTTTACTCATTTTAAGTGGGGGAGGCTTATTACTTTGAAATTATTCCACACTGTAGGTTGTCATTATTCAAAATGGTAATTTAAACTTACTATACACACACATATGCTTAGGCTTGAATCTTAGTTTAGCTGTATCATAGCTAAATGTACTTGGACAAAGTCCTTAATGTCTTAGAGTTATCTGTAAAATGAAGACAATAATAGTAGTATCTGCCTCATAAGGTTTTTGTAAAAAGTGATATGAATGAGGCACAGTCACAGGGGGAACATCGGGTGAGAAATTGGGGATCAACAGAGGTGAGGCTTAGAACCTCACCCCGCCCCCCTGTTTTGAGAGAAATCTTCTGCATCCATGGATGTTTTGTTGCCCTTGTCTAGCTTGGATTAATACTTAGTCTATAGGCACAGACCTGATCATCTACATTTGCCCTCTAACAGCACTAAACTATGTTTTCTACCTTTATCTTGCACCTACCTACCACTTCAGCATTTTATTTAAAAAATAATAATAATAATAAGGGAGAAATGTGGGAATCACATATAAATCAATTATAAAAATCAAACGAATATTCATATTTGACCTGATTGTTCATAGTTCATAATGTGTGATCAAAACCGAAAGTTTCTGTGATGACTGCCCTTGCATTGTTCACCATGTAAGAACTTATTCACTATGTAAGAACTTGTTCACCATGTAAGAACTTGTTCGTTATGCTTCAGAAGATTGGAGACTGTTGAGAATTAGGCTTGGGGTTGATTAATGATTGTGCATTGAGTCCCCTATACAGAATTTTATTGTTGTTAACAACCATTTGATCAATAAATATGAGAGATGCCCTCTCAAAAAAAATAAAAATTAAAAAAAAAAAAAAGTGATATGAATGAGCTAATCCAGTATTGAATGAAATCATCTGTATAAAACAGAACAGGGCTTGGCATATAATAGGTACTTATAAGGAAGGCTATTAGTGTCTAGACTAAGAGTAAACATTATATAAAGTGGGATTTACAAAAAATCAAATAAAAAGAAGAAATCATAAGGTATATTTAAAGTTTAGAGGTGAAGACTCAAGGCCTTTTTCACTACATTAGAGAATTCATATTTTCATTATTTTGTGGGAATATATAGTTATCTCAATGCTCAGTAATAAAATGTGCTGAGCACATTACAGAGTTTCAGTAGATACTTATTCAACTATTTCAATACAAAGATATTGTCTTAGTAAACCAAGGGAAAAGTTTGTCACTTTTTGACCCCATTAACTTCTATTCCTGTTTTAGATAATACCTTTCAGCTGTCAAACTACCTAACCATTCCTTCCCCTGGAGAGTTAGAATTCTAGAAGGAGAGGGATTGCAGGATTTTCTCCCAATATGGACAGCAAGATATACACTGAGAAAGTATAGTATTTCTACCTGCATTTTGGTAAGTGCTCCTAAAAGTCTCTGTGTCCAATTAGGAAAATATGGAAGAATCAAAATGATGCAAAAACAGCTTTCAGGTAGTAGAAAACTAAATAAATAACAGAGTATGGAGGGAAGAAAAAGAAATTCAAATCAAGCCAGTGTAGATTTTTAATATATAGCTTGTTTGGTAAATATGGCTACATCTACAAGGCAAATACCTGTAAACTACATGCATTCACTTTTGTATACTTAAGAGTATTTATTTATATTTGTAGTCTAAATTGAATACCAAAATGAGATTTGTCTAATTTGAGACAGAAGTCAGTTTTCTAATACTGTATATATAAAAGGTTTCTGAAGATAAATGTATTTATACATTTTAAAGTTTTTGTGTCCTTAAAGATAGTATTTTATGGAGAAAACTTCTGAAAGATTCTGAGCGTCATAGGTGTATACACATGCATGCACATACATATATGTACACATGTTCAACTCAATCCTTCTTCCCTATTACTCTAAAATTAAATGATATTTTCACCAGATTGCAAATATTTTAATAAAAACCACAATTTTTGAAAAGATGTTGCAACTACTGACTAATACATTGATTATTTCCAATATTTCTCAGAGATAGAAATGGAAAACAACACAATGCTGGTGTTTAAGGTCTATCTGATAATGAACAAAGCTAACAGCTTTAGTTTTTAAAAAGTCTCTAAACAGTATGTGTGCAATTGTTTTTACTGGAAAAGGAACACATTCTCCATTTGTCCTAAGAAAAACATTAAAATTTTTAACTGATAAAAAGTCTACCTTGTAGTAGAGTTAGAGAATCAAAAGTACATCCTTTAAGAACAGCTTAATAACAGTAAAAGCCAAAAATGGCCCAAAATACACATTAATGTATGATTTAACCATACCATTTCTTACCAGGGTCTCTAAAATAATTCAGCACTTGTTCTACCTATTGGTACAATCTAAATCCCAAGGATATCAGGTAATTTCAATATTCACAAATCTCAATGGAGCAGTTTGATAAAAGCTTCTGACAGCTGAATGTATGATTAAATCAACTAGTGTTTATTGAACAGTCTGAGGACCCACTGTGTTACATCCAAAGCAGTAGTTCTTGAGCAATCAGAAAAGTGCTACTTACCAGCAAGTGTATAATCCATATCAAAACCAAAACACTTAATTTTTTCCATGGCTAAACTTCGATTTACAAACACCCTAAAGAAAGGAGAAAAAAATGACATCTCAGTTAACACTGAAACAAAAAAATTCATAAGTTTAGTGGAATTATTTGGCTATCTTTCTATATCTTCTTATTTAAATACTAAGATTTGCAATGAAAATTATTCAAGTTCTTCTTATACCATAAATGAAATCAGATATTATACCAACAAAATGTGGATTTTCTTATTGCGTCTTGTTATTAACAATGCTATGTATTTAAATTTTCAGAGAATCCGCTCCCCTTTTCACCTTTTCTAAGTCTGACTCCACAAAATAAATTTATTTCTGAGATTTTATTATTCATTCATTTGTAATTTATTTAATAAACAGAGGCTCATTTAAAGTCTACCATATGCCAGATACTTAAGACATAAATACAAATAGATCCATTCAGCAAATACTTATTGAGTGCCTACTCTATGCCAGGTACTGTGATTGGACAGTGCAAGAGTATGTGCCCTCATGGAACTTACATTTTAACTTACAGTTTCTACCCTGGAGGAATTTGGCCCAGCAGGAGAGAGACTTACAAGTAAATAATTTGAGCAATTTCAATAAATACTACAAAATAACATTGAGGAGAGAGGAGCAGTTGTTTAGAGACTAAGCAAGATGTCTGAGTTGAATCTTAATCAGCAGTTTTCCAGTAGGAGGACAAAGCAAGAAAGGCAATCCAGACAGAATAACCAGGCAAGGACAAGGTTTACTGTGAACTATAAAACATTTATCATCAGTTGGAGCTGATGAGTTATTTTTGGTTTTGCTTTTTTGTTTGTTTTTTCAAAAGAAGGTCTTGCAAAGGAGCAGGAGTTGGGGTCAGAATCATGAAGACATTAAGCAAGTTTGGATTCTATCCTGCAGGCAAAATAACTAGATTAAAATTTCAGGAAGATCGCTATGAAGACACTAGACATATGAGTCTGGTAGATTATCACCATGATGATGTTTCAGTGTAACTTTAAATCATCTGTGAAAATAAGGATACTCTTTCCATCTGATCGTCACCTTGATGGCCAAAATTACTGGGTAGTTTGTCTTCTTATTACCAAACTTTTTCTTGCTTTCATTTCATAAGTAACTTTGAGAAATTCGAATGCTACTAATCACCTAGGAAACTTGGTAAAAATAAGGATGCCTGGGCTGGGTTCCCCCATTAATGATCTAGGTCAGTAGTCTCCAAAGCAGAGTGACCCAAGGGATGCAGAAGAATCTACTGGGATACAAGAAAATATTTTATCTTCTACTGATATTTACTGCATCATTTAGAAGTGTCTAATTTGTGTATGTTTCCTACTATATATAAACATGGACAGGAGAATAGGTAATTTATGAATAAACATATAGGGATGAATGTTCCATATTCCAACCAGTAGAATATTTAAGAATTTGGTAGTCACTGATCTAGGTAAAAACTCTATTACTATTTTTAAATTTTAATGAAAAACTTTTTCTCTCATCTCAGAGTGTATCACCAATTTTAATGCAAATAGTAAAATATTTGCTTAAAAATACTTTTGAGTACTTAAAATCAACAGGCCCTTAAATTTAGAACTACTCATTTCTGAAAAATATGAAACTCATTCCTTATACCGCAATTAACTTTATTAACCTCTTAGTTCCTAACAGAGATGCTATATAAAATACTTAGACTTCTTTACCTAAGAAAACCTGTTCTTCTGGAAAAATCAGTATTTACTTTATCCTGTGTTAATAATAGGTGGGAGGGGGAGAAGAGTAATGGACAGCTGAAAGACACAAAGGACTAGAGGATAAATTACACCCACACAAATGGTTTTTAAAACCCCCTCAGCCCCAGTATCATCATAAACCCTTTACCACTTCTGCCAAACTTCACTCTGCTTTTACTGACAAGAGAATCTTTTTGCCACCTTAGCTCAATTGCATAAATCCCTTTGAAGGCATAAGAGGGACAAAATATAAAAAGTAATGGTTCTAACTCGGAAACTAAATGTCACTGCAGTTTTAGGCTTTTCAAACACACTCTGAATTCAGGCTAGGGGGCCAGCTGGATCAAATCCTTGGTTAGAGCCCTAGCCCAAACAGCTGACATGCCTAAAATATTCTACAGGAATTCAGGAACAGACTGGCAAGATTTTTCTTGCTTGTGATACAATCCAGGAGGGATATATATGGGGTCATATAGTAAAATAAACAGCTTTACTCTGATTTAAGAATGGTGCGAGCTGGTTTCAGGCACAGTTAAAATCACAGGAAAAGAGACTTTTTGCTAATATCACTCAATCAGTGCTAAAAGTTGAAAGAAACTATTAACAGACCCAGAAATAGAGTTTCACCAGTTTCTTTCTTGGCCAGAAGAGAGATTAAGCCTGTATTCCTTACATTGTTTTAAGGGTATAAAGATCATAATGCGAGAGTTGTACAACACAGAGAAGACAGGTGGTGATTATACAGCATCTTGCTACGCTGATGGACAGTGACTGTAGTGGGGTGTGTGTGGGGGGCCTTGGTGAGGGGGGAGCCCGGTAAACATAATGTTCTTCATGTAACTGTAGATCAACGATAGCAAAAATAAATAAATAAATAAATAAAAGATCATAATGCACCTTAGGTGTTATCCATACAAATTCTCTGGGAATGACACATATAAAGAATATGAAAATCTGCTGTTTTTGCCAAAATAATCACTACAAAATATCCATCAAATTGCACTCTTCCCTCTCTAAGGTAAACCACTTTATTCAGTTAACACATACACTGAAAGCCCACTACAAAGGAGGAACCATGTTATGACATACAGTACACGACTATCCTTCAGGGAGTAGCTAGAGCTAGGACTTTCTAGATGCCTAAAATAAGGAAATAAGACACTTTCCTATGAAGACCTTCCACCAAATATCCTTTGTCTTTTCATTTTCCTGCAAAATAAGTTCCCTCACTCACAGAAGCAATTTCTGAACTTAAAAAAGAAACAATCACTCCTCTGTCTCCCCTTCTAATTCATTCCTATTATGAAACAAACAAAAAAAAACTTACCTATATTCTTATCTCTCCTTTTCTTTGCCTCATTTATGCTACAAAACATGGAAAGGGGGCAATAGGGAAACAAATATCTAACGTGCATAAGCACAGTTATAATGACAAAATTCAACTGCTGCCGTTACAGGGCTGCAACAATACATATACTAAGATTTACAAAGCTAATAAACATCCAAATGCTGAAAGTACGCACTGATCAGCAGAGAGGCAGCCTTGAGTCAGAAATACTGTGTCTCCAGTCAGGATACAGTCTTCAAGAGAAACTAATCTCCTGCCCTCAAATTAATGCTATTCTTTACTGTTGTAACAAAAGAAAGTGTTGGGTACTATATCAATTAAAAGATGACTCAGTGTATTTCAAACAAAAAGATCACACCTACTTGGGGAAACCAAAAATTTCTATTGGTCCTAGCATCTTGACTTTATCTTTGCCAATGCCAGTTTACTTGTACCACTTTTCTAAATTATTAACCAGTGGAACATACTCCACCTCTATCTTCAAGAGTTGAATATGTTTGTGAAATTAACTTTCCAAAGCTTGTTTAAAGCACAAAGTCGCTGCACTAAAAAAGCATGACTAAACTTAAGCATCCAATCTTAAAATGCAACGATCAGCCAGAAACGCCTACATACAAGTGATTTGCAAGATACAGACTTGAGCATTTAACAAGAGAAGCAATCTTTAGGAGACAGGACAGAGGGACACTATAAAACCAGACAGACTTCGACACAAAGACAAATTTAACAGTTTTTGCTATCATATCCCACTTCAGTAAGGTATGAAATCTGAGGAAATTCTATCCAAATAAATATAGATATTAACCACAAGAAATAAGACTATTAATATGTACTTTAAAAATAGAGATCTAATATTCTCAAACTTAAAGAACATGAACATGCAATTTACTAAGTCTAGAATTATGTTAACAGTATATTCTTAATAGTTTTGAGATTTAACTCATAACTTAAAGCAACATTACCTCATCTGTCACTGGTTGCCGTTCTGCGAAATGTGAAACTGAGTCAGATGTTGAAGTCACATAACAAAATTCTTCTTCAAGTTCCTAGTATAATTTTTTGTATATGACTTTCAAAGACTGTTTTAGTCTTAACCAGGCCCCTCAACAGCATGTATCTTCTGAGACAGTGTTGGAAAAAACACCTCTGTGTCTAATTTAACTTGTCATTGGATATCACTGTTGCTCCACACAAATCCATTTGGAACAGAATTTCTTTGGCAATGGTCAACTTATCCCTAGCTCCTCCTTCTGCCTAGGAGTCACAATTTCCTGGCCAACTGCCCAGCAACAGTTACTAAAACAACAAATGAAACTAAGGATACAAGTATAAAATCTTCTTGGGCTTTTGGGTTTGTGAAATTACACACTCAAAATTTGTTACAATTAAGGAAAAGTTTTAAGTGCTTTTTTGAGAGTGCAAATTTATTTTATGAACCAAATGAAATGTCTGTGTTTGTGTATTTTCACTAAATAGAAAAATGCTATAATGTGGATTTTTTTTTTTGAAAACCTAATTTTGTATCTCCTCAAACTAGTTTCTACTTCTGTTACTGGCATTCTCATTTTCCCACTCAAGCCTAACATCTAGTTATTATCTTTTGAGTCTTTCCTCTTCCTCAAAGTCACATCATCTCACAATCACAGGCCTTCATTTACATTTCTACATGTCTCTAAATTCACATCTTTCACTCAATTCACACTGCTAACATCTTGTCTAGGTCCTCATGAACTCTTCAGCAATCATCTCCCAATAGCTCTGCCTGCACACTAATGCCAAAGTATCTGCTTTGACGTAGTGCTACTCAAAGTGTGGCCCGCAGACCAATGTGGGTCTGTGAACAGTTATAATCCAAGACATGATATATACAGAAATTGCAAATATTTAAAAACTTTTATAGCAATTGAGTTTTGTCTGTTGAATGTAATAAAAAATGTGAACTTAATTTTAAGTCCTCA